CCCATTCTTCTCTCCTTTTCTCATGCTGTTTTCTCCAGTCATGACGAAATGTGCATCAGTACAGGAAACTAAACTCTGAGAAAAGTCTTGGATTTCTGGACAGAAGACCAAAGAGAGTGATGCTGGGATCCAGTGAGAGTGGGGAACTCCCACCTAGGAAGGAAGGGAAGGAAGCGATATCCCAATTTTATGTGTGAACTGCGAGAAGCTCTGGGTCCACCCCAAGCAATGCATGTGTGGAACACCCAAATGGCGAAGCAAAGGCTTTGAAACTGAACTGCTACCATAGACAATGCACAAAAATCAGCCAGAACTGTCTAAATCTAATCATGTTGTTCACATGCCAGATAGTTCTTGTGGTAGGCCAAAAATGCTCCTCCCAAAATGTCCATATCAAAAATCTGGAACTGGATAAAGGATCCTTGCAGATCTACTTCAGTTAAAGATCTTGAGGTCAGGCTGGAATATGTGAGTGGGCCCTGGGACCAATGACAAGTGTTCTTATAAGTGACACACAGAGAAATAAGCAATGTAACCACAGAAGCACAGGTCTGTATGATGTGGCTGTGAGCCAGGGAATGCTGACAGCCACCAGAGACTGGGAGAAACAAGGCTTCTCCACTACAGAGTCCAGAGGGATGTATCCTGCTGGCTTCAGATTTCAGACAAATGGGCCACAGAATTGTGAGAAAATGTATTTCTGTTGTTTTAAGTAACCGAGTTTGTGGTAATTTGCTTTGAAATTATTTTACGAAAATTTGGAATTTTAGGAAACTAATACGGTTCCCTATTGCTGTGTAACAGAATATCCCAAAACTTTGTGACTTTAACCAAATATTTATTATCCTATAATCTCTGTATGTCAAGAGTCCACATGTGGCATAGCTGTGTCTTCATCCCCTGTTTTGTTTTTGTTTTTGTTTTGTGTTTTTGACTTTCTCCCCTACTCTCTAACCTCTACCCCTGCCCCCACCGACCTGATGCTGTGGGAGGGATCGGCCCTCAAAGAAGTGGTGGTGCATGCTGGGCCCAGCCTTCTTGCCCACCCTCACTTTCCAGGGCAGAAAGGGTCCAAGGTTATAATAAGAAGTAAATAACTTGTCTGTATAGCCTGTGCTTGTGTGGTGTGAGATGGAGTGCAGGGTAGGGAACAGCTGGCATGGGTCTCTGGTTGGTACATCTTTGTGTGTTGATCCCTGAGGTGACTGGCATGTGCTGAGCCCTCAGCATAGGATTAGTGTGGGTTAGCATGTACTGGATTTCTCAAAAGGCTCTCAAGGGTCATCTGCTATCTCATCTGAAGTCTTGTAAGAGAAGCGTCTGCTTCAGAGCTCACTATGCAGCCAACGGACATGGAAGGTGATCCCATAAGGGTATAAATATCAGGAAGTGAAAATCAAGGGGGAACATCTTACTAACCTACCCATCAAAGTCTGATGATTCATATCCCTTATATATTATGCCAAATATATTTACTTATTTCCAAGGTTCCCAAAAACTTCACCCTATTACAACATTGCATATTTTAAAGTCTTCAATTATTTAATAGGAAGTAATCATGGAAATAAAAATTGATAACTTTCTACTAATACTTGTTCCTATAGCTGGTGAAATAATGAATGAAAAAAATTGGTAAATTATTAATTGGAATCAATTAATCTTTCTTACAATTTATAAATTTTACGTTTTAGAATCTACTCAAGTCCACTTTACCTCAAATAATAGATACGGGGAGTGAATGCTCATCTAAAATAATAGCAAATGCTCATTATTTGAGTGCTGGTTAAGAAATGAACTGAACCCCACCTACCCCACAACAGCATAGCCTCTGCCATGCTTTGCTTTCCAATGTGAAAGCACAGAATTTGAATAAAAGGAGTTGAAACCTGTGCCAATACAGCTTAAGACAAGTCCCTAAAGCCTTCACGCTCTTTCTACTAGACATCATTCACTAAATATCAAATATTAACAACTATTGTAAATATTTTGGAACCACTCTGAATAATGATAAAATACAATTTTACATTGTCAGTGTGTGTCTAGGTATTTTTTAACCATTATGATCAATTATTTCTGGAAGAAGAGTTTTTTCAGATAGCAACTATAATTATATAGAATTTTAAAAAACTGGGTATGAAAATCCCAGTCTCATAAGATTACTTTTAGAAACTAGTGAGCAAAGAGAAAATGATCAGTACATTGATCTAATTATTCTAACACAGGTTGTTTTTTGTTTTTTGTTTTTGCTCTCTTTTATCCTTCCCCTGTCTGTTTTCCAACTAGTTTACAACAAAATGTGATTCACTATTAAAAAGTTTATATACATATGTATGTCTTATTTCAATAGCACAATTTTTAAACTGTCAAAGTTACTATTTTATATGCATTTTAATCCTTTTTTCAGTTTTAGTTTATGCCTGATAATCTCTTGAGTGGAATTTCTTTAAATATTGTATCACAATATTTTTATTTCTGCACCTATTATTAACAAACTATTCAAGTCAGATTTACACAAGCCTATACTCTCAGAATATTGGCAAATAAAGAAAAAGTTCTATATCTTTCCATAAGGTATTATTTCCAGTATATCTTTAGAATTAAAAAAAAAGTAAGAGAAGTAGAACTGATATCTAACTATCCTAATCAAAAGTTTTCCTAGCTACTTTTTCTGCCTAATTTATTTCTTTATGCTAATCAACCATATTGTTTCATCAATGCATTGTGCCTTCTCCAAAGTCAATGTGACTTTCACATTTTTTATTGCTATGCCTAATAACTTTTCAACATTTATGTAGTACTTTCCATATCAGAGTACATTGTAACCTAATGCTTTTGAATGGAAACTGATTACAAGAACAAAAGAGCATGTAATTAGAATATAGAAACAGGAAGTGAAAGAAGAAATACATAACTTGTAATATTCAACAAACATATGGATCTCTCAACAGTTAAAACAATAGTATAGGGGAATCATTTGCTTTCCTAAGTAAGATGGTGAGCACTTAATACAAAGATGAAAAGCAAGCAGTAAAATGTGGCTTGTCCCTACTTAGGCTTACAGAAGGTAGAGACATTTGCATCTTCACTCTTTTGTTGTTGCTGTTGCTTTTAACTAAAGCATTGGCTTTTCAAATGCTTGTCAGCTGAAGCACAGCATTCAAACTGAATAGACCGTTTGAGGAAATACAACATGACAGTATTCCCAAGATTGTAGGTCAATGCAAATTTGGATCTAGGTAAGGAAAAAAAAAAAGCTTTGGATTTAAAGTTTAACATTGTGTTCTTTCAAAAACATTTGTCTCACAAATATAAGTTCATAACTTGTTTTTAAGAAACTAATCATTTCTGTAATAAATTCCCTAGCCTCATGCGGTATTTTTCTGTGTTTAACTCTAGAAACATCCATGTAAGTCAGTCGAAGGAGAGGAGACAGTCCCCAGAGAAACACTGCATTTCTTTTCTATTTTTTTTTCTTTGTTTTTCAGTCATTCTGAAACCTATGCCCTCTTGTGCAACCTCAACTCTAATATGGTGACAACACTGGATTAGCAAGGGCGGGCGGGGAGTGAGCGCTCACTCTTGTCCAAGCTAGGCGCACCCATGTCTAGCCTCCTTGTTGAGGGATGACCCTGGGTAAGGCTTGGCATATTTGCACCTATCCTGGAATCACCAAAAAGAAAAAAAGAAAAAAAGAAAGTCTGTTTTTATTCACACTGGAAGCACATTTCCACATGTATCAAATAACCAAAAATTCAAAAGGCAGGGTGACCCAGAGTTTTGAAAATTATCTATAGAAAGAGACATATCATCCACCAAGAGTGAGGGGGTAAACTGCACAGTCAATTGGAAAACACTTAGCATGGCATGGTAATACTGACCATGCACATATCCCATGACTGTCAACCCTATTCCCGGAGCATCCCATCACCGTATGCATGGCCATTATGATGGCATTGTTTGAAATAGCCATAGACTGGAAACAAGACAGTTGCCTTTATTGGCTAGTGGTCCTCCTGCCGTTTTAGTATAGTCGCCACAATCCCTTCTTATGTTTCAAAGCAAAGTCTACTCTGTGCAAGGATACTTCGATCTGAAGGGTCATTCACATAAGAACAATTTTGTGTGTTCACGTGCTGGTGACAGAGTTATGTATTTCTGCTTGACCATTTGTATATTAGACTCCCGATCACCCTTGGGACCTCTGAAATGCCTCAACATGGCATGAACAATTGTGGACTGAGGAGAGAACACAAGGGTATGGATGACGACAAGTACTTTTTCTAAAACAATTATTATTAATGATACCTAGATTGATATTCAGTAAGCTGAGGTTTATGGTTTTGTATATTTTGTTAGACTATATTTCTCATAGAAGTATTAATAACAGGGAGAAAAAATTGTTTAGGTTATTAAATAGTTAAAATAATGCGAAGATAGCTACAATAAAGAGACACAGGAATGTGGAAGGAAGAAACGGTTGTAGTGGAAAGAGAGAAAATGCAGAGAAGCCATTTCTAATAATACAGACCAGGCTCTACCTAATGTGAGATAACGGCAATCTTCTGAGTCTTCTGACTGTTTCCTTCAGTCTCTATGTTAACTCTTTCGTCCTAGGCTACTACTCCTCAAACCTTCCTAACTGTAATTCTAAGATCTCTAAAGGTAAACCAATAATGCTGTCTTGAATTCCAGTATTATATTAGTACAGAACGATTTTACTTAAATATATTTAGCGATTATATGCTAACTACTTGTTTTCATTTGCTTAAGTAATGTAGGGATTTATGATGCTTATTAATGGAAATCTATGCAAATTATTGAACCATAAATTGGGCTAGAACTCTCAATTTTCTTTCAATAAGTATTCCAAAATAGCTTTCATAATGAATGTCTCATTCTGAGAAGAACACTAAACAACTGATGTGAAGTTACATATATAATTGAAGGATTTTATAAAGCCTGATAAACCCTGGCTAGGTATTCCTTGAATCGTCACTTACATTGTGCTTTGTGAGATTTGAAATATTAGTTGCTATTGCTTGTAGCCAGTCAACGCAGTCTTCAGCAGAGAGGCACTGAATAATCCCACTGCAGACCCCATCCACAGCAATGACTTGAAAGGCATTCTGCCTGCAGATGTTCAGAACAAATCAGATCAAAACATACTGTCATTGATCTATTTGCAACTCAAATAGTATCCGTTGAAAAGCTTATCTTTCAAACAATATAAATATCAGCCTCCAAATTCATATTTGGTTACCTGACTTTATAAACATCTCTGTTTTAAATGAAACACTAAAGATAGACCCAAATGACATACAATTTCAATTTAGTAGGAAGCATCTTTAGATTCAGGTAACTATGGAGAAACTTTGACTTCTAAAACATAAAATAGGTAAATGAAAGAGAATCTAAGAAATTTTAGATGCATTCTTTTCCCAGTTTGCTATAACATTATGCATAGTTTACTTATTATTTAGGCTACCTTTGTCTCCTCTTAACATTTGTCAATGCATTTTCTGACTTAGAAAGATTGCAAACACAGGCAATAAAACATTCAGCGTGACATTAAAAAATCACTTGATAACATGAGTGGCAGCACTTTGTCCGTTGTTCTCCACCCTCATTCTCAGTCTGTTCATCTTCTCAAAGATGATTTGGAACAAGAGATTCATACCTCCTTTCCAGGTCTAAATGATCATGCTCTCCATTTGCATGGATGCTGAAAATTCCATGAACATTAAACTTTTTTCTTAAAATGTTATGATCAGTCTAAGCATTCTGAAAGTATATTGTTGACTTTTGTTTTTGTTGTCATAAACAATTAAATGATGCTTTTACAAATTGTTCACAAAAGTGCTATTGAATTTAAAAGTGTGCCCTATAGTTTCAATGACTTCCTTACTTCCAGATATTTTAATATTTAGATATAAACTTAATGGACAGGAATATATAAAATCCCAAAATGGATGGAAGCCAGCCAAAGTCTCATGCTTAAGAATTACTTCATTGTGCAACATGATACACAAACCATATTTCAATTCCAGTCAATTATGAATAGAAAACTTCTGCAATTCAGTATTCAAAATGCTATGTAAAATGTATAAATTTATATGTTTTCTCCAAACAAACACCTTTCCTGGCTCTTCTACTAGACATTTGTGGATATAAAACATGAGTTTAATCCCCAAACAAAGAAAATCTGATAGAGCATGTCTGGCTTAGGTCTCCTGCTAGGTTTATGCCACTCTGCCTTCCTGTCTCAGAACTGGGCACATGGTAAGGCCTTGGGCATCCACGACTCTGAGGGTTCAAATTGTCAATATTTTTAGAGAAACTGGTTCTCATATTTTGGACACAGCACTTTATAATGAAAACAGGGATGTGCTCAGATATACATTTTTGTTTTCTTTTAAAAATACATTAAAAGAATTTCAGAAGTATAACTATTGTCCATCTCTTTGAAATAAAGTTAGTCTGATTTTGTGACAGTGTACACATTGAATGAATATAATGTTATAATTTCACATGATATTTTTTGCTTTCATTCTGATGTTTAACAGCAAGTAAGATGTTTAAAGTATTCAGACAGAAGTTTAACCATCCATAGAAAATGAGAAATAATTGGAGTTTAGTAATACATATTTCTTTCCGCTCACTGGTTGTAACCATTGCTTCATGTACCATAAATTAAAGCATATCTTGATCATATTTGTCTTCTCTGCTTTAAATGAATAACAGCAGCTAGATATTTTTAGCTAATAAAAGTCAGTACACTTAGATCAAATCTTCAATCTATGTAATTATGGATGCTACATAGTCCCTACATAGAATAATTGAGGGGCTGATCTTTTATGAAACTAGACTTGTAAGTTAATACATATCAATTTTTACATTCTGTTTCAACTTTTCAAATATGGAAACTCTTTTATGAACATAAGTGAAACACTTGAACAGCTTATTTGATTACATATGACCACTGATAGAATAAGTTGATCATAAAAATTACAGTTATCTGGGGCCTCTATTGCTAAGTAAAGAAGGTTATTAGTAAACTAGCTCACTTAGTTGTGCCTCAATTTCATCTAAAGTGAGAAGAATTTACTGTACAGATTTAACAAGTATTTTCTGAATAACTGGTGGATCTAAATACTTTAATATATGGATGAAGTTCTATGTATAATATTCCCCTGAATAATCCATCAATATGGTCTTGATTGCAATATTTCAGTGTTAAAAGAAAACGTACCCACATAGAATTATTGTCTCATCAAGCACTAGGGAAAAACTGCAGTGCTTTTGTTTTTATTTGTAGCTTTTAGAAAATGTAATTCTACATAAACAATAAGAGTTAATATTTATTATGGAATCAATAGACTCCATTACTCATTAATTTAGCATTGTGAGACATTAAACTTTTACAGCATTAACAGTAACCTTATGGATACCCAGACAAAATTATGTGTCTTAGTCTTAGTTATATACATATATACACACAAACAAAATTACATCACTGAGGTTTTTTGACTTAGTCTGAAGTTTTTTATTCAGGCTTGTTTTTCCACTGTCCACTTATACAGTTTTCTAAAGGTTCTTGGTAACTCTTCTGGCAATAAAAAGTATTTTCAAATGTTGCTCAATTTCAAAGTAGGTTTATTCATTTAAAATGCAAATTTAGTTTTCCTTGAATGAAAAGTATACTGCTCACTATACAAATTCATGAATAATTTTCAACCTAACATAAGCGATCAAATAAATATACATCATTTCTAATTAATACAGTTTGTGATTCCTGTTTTGATTCATTGTTGATTTTACCCCACAAGAGGACATGTACTTTTATGCCACAGAGACTAAAATGTAAAAGTTTGGAGTGGCTGGAATGAGCATGAGTTCTGGGAGCTCACCATGGAAAAACAGGCAGACTCAGAATGAGGTGGGCTTAAAGTCTGCAAGGAACCACTGCAGAACTCCACATAGAGGACCACAATGTCTAGATTTGTGTGGTTTGGGTGGTCCTGTTAGACCAGCGAGGGAAGGACTATCACTGGTAAAACTTGAGGTGATATGAAACTGAAATAAACCTATATTAGTGAGAGTGAAGATGAAGCAACTTAGTTCACTTAGTTGTGCCTCAATTTCCCCTAAAAAATGAGAACGATTTGCAGATTTAACAGGGATCTCGGTACTTTCACATATGGTTGAAGTTCTACGTATAATTTCCCCCTTAAAGGCATTAGAAATGACGTGATTCAATAACTGCTTTTTTAAATGAATTATGAAGGAGTGAGTAGAATCAAAACTACTTTACCATGTTGGGCTAAGCAGTGGGATGGCTTGGCTGGGGCAGGTAAGGGAAAGCAAAACTTTTAAAGAAGAGATAATTAATCCAAAAGAAAACGTTCAAAGCATGAAAAGCATAGTATATCCAGAGAAATATGGGTTGTCTGGCATATTATGTGTGAATCTGAAGAGGAGGCAAGTCATGAAGTTGGTGATTGGACAAGGCAAAATCAGTGATAATTCACATATCTTGCTGCAACTTGATCCTGAGGGTCAGGGGAGCCAGTGGAAACATTGAAGCACTGGAGGAAAAGGGTCATGCTTATATTTTAGAAATATCTCTCTGTGGGGTGAAGGATACGGAAAAAAAGTGAGAATAAAGTCTGAGGGATGTGAGAAGGGTATTGCAATACACAAAAGGAACTATGAGAAAAATCAGTCTCAGAGTGGCCCCGTGTGAAGACGGAACATTGACTCATTTACTTGATTTCATTATCACTTAATTGGTGGGAGGATGCTATTCAAGGAAAGGAAGAAATAAGAAGAGGCCCCTTGGGTTTGTGATTGTAGCATTTTACTCTGTCTTATTGAGTGTAATCCACACACAGCAGGCCTGAGTTGTTTCTTCCCTGTGTGCACTACCTTAGTTCACTGCTGTGTCTTCTCTTTAATTTTTCAGGCACAAAACCTAAGCTGTTTAGGTACATCAGGAGCTTTTTCAAGTTATTTTTTGTGACTTATTTTCCAGACCTTAAATTCACTAGATGTTTCATGAGTTGAAACCACATAACTCATCATTCCCTAAAGAAGTCCTGCACTTTATGCAACAGTGTCTTTCTCCCTGGTACTCTTTGTGTGAAATGCCCATCTATGCTCCTTCAACATCTCCAAGGTCCTTGCAAGTCAGTTAACACTAGGAAACTCTCTGACTCACAGTTCCTCTAGTTGTGAAATGAAGAAGGCAACACATATTCTGCACACCTCAGGCTGTATTTTGAAGGCTATAGACTGGACTTCTTAAGAACTGAAAAATCTGTTAAAAATACCAGTTGTGTTATTTCTGCCTGTCAAAATCCATTTCAAATTTTAAGACGTTAACTCAGGTGCCATCTATTCCATGATATTTTCTATAACCCTTGTATTTGGAATGAATCTCTTCCACTTTAATGCTCCTAGACTTCCTGATTCTTTTATTGCAACATTTGTTCTCTGTGGTATTAAACATGTTTGTGTAACTGCTAAATCCAGTTCGATCTTACTAAGCTGCTAGCTCCTTGAAGGAAAAGCCATATATGCTATTTTATACCTCTCATAGCATTAGCACAGTGCTCGGAGACTTTAATCCATAAGTAAGGAACAAAAACAAATAAGTCCATCTCCATTTTACTTTCACAATCCACTGCTTTTGCTAACTTGATATCTAGTGTTGTCCAAGACAGCTCCACTGTCAGACTTGAATTCTCACATTTCTGTTCTTTAACTATAACCTCTTCGTTTCCATCACCACCAAAATACCCTATTATTTTTCTGATCTTTCTTAGTCCTTCCAATTACCCTAGTTCATATATCTATTCAGGATCTAGCTGCATTGCCTAGACTGAGCTTCCTGTTCATCCATGCAAATTATGTGTTAATTTTTCACTTTAGAATTTCCTATCACTGTGACCTCCAGTCACTCCAATCTTACTACTTCCCAGCCCTCAATAACTCCAATTTAACTAAACGAATATCCTTTTCTTCCTGGCATGGCAGGATTCCCTACCAAAAGTAATAAATTGTGCAAAGAAGCCCCAGTACAATTGATCTCTGGGACCCCAAGATCCGTAGTTGCTCTTGTCTACTTTGCT